GGACTCAAGCGATTCCTCATTGTACATCGTATTACCGCTGCCTCATAATTGACCTTAAATTTGATCCTTCCGCAAATATGATCTATGGAAATTAGTACAAAAAAATAAAAGACTTCAAAATCTTCACAGAACGAGCTATTAAAACACTTTTCGCTTACATTTTCTTTCATTTTAATGAATCATAGATAAAAGTATGTGATTTCTGTTTTCATTTGAGTGGATAAACGATCCGAATCAGCCTTCAGTCCTAAGTAATGAAGATAGTAGGATCATTGACCTGTATTAATCCTTACAGTTTGCTCTCCAGTGAATGTTGAGCTTCTTCTTGAAAGTGTTCACTGATGGGGTTGACACCAGTAGTTCGAGGAAGGCGTTTTAGTCACCGACCACTCGGTGAGAAATACGAAACCCCACATTAAGTTTATTAGATCGCGTGTTTGAACCTCCTTGTTATGACCTCTAAGATCATTATTGCTGGAGGGAGAAATAAGATAAGACATATTAATACTCAAATCGCAATTAAGGATACGGTAAAGGTTTAGGCGTTTTAAGCGCTGATCGTAAGGGTGTTTATAAATACCCTTTATCAATTTTGTTCCCTCACGCTAAACACGCTCAAATGAGTCAGTATCACAATTATTAAGATAATAAAGAGTGAGGAGAAATTTCTTTTTGATTGTCTTCGTATTTGAAGCAAAGACACAGCTGTTTGATATTATTGTTCATGATGGGACCCATGTGCTAGTTCACTCGGTAAAGTCAGTCTAGTGAGTATTCAAAACATCATTATTTGTTATTGTTGATTAAGCGACGGTTATTTCATATTTATTTTTATGTTGTGTTTCCCGGCGAATACTCAGTTTTTCCTTAAAAACGTTTCTCTATGGGGCTGATGATTTCTGATTCAGCCGATAACGTCTAGGTAAAAATGTCAGAATCCCTCTTTTAGTGTATCTGCTACGGATTTTTGTAAGATGTTTTGTGGTTTTGGAGATAGGTACGTCAAAATTATGGGAACACTGACACATACATTTTCAACTAAATAAGAATTTGCCGATTTGATACAATATTCAAATTTTTGTCTGAAGATATCACAGGTATGCAGTACTTGCCAACACAGTGAGCAGAAACTTCATAAAAAAGGATCCGAAAACTAGCGGAAACAAAAGTTGCGAAGTAAAGGGTTCGAAAATGTCTTTCAGTCGTATTGAATGTGTCGATCTGCATTTACTTCAGCTGACTTGTCAGAGTGAGGCATGCGCAACATGGTGTACCCAAGCGTAGTCTGATGATGATGTCTGACGCAATACCTTTAGCAATGGTTGCGTCTTGTAAAACCAATGGGGCAACACCAATTTCTAAGAATTAAAAACTACTTCTTATGGGGATTTGATTGCAGCTACAAGTCTTGCGTATGTATGGCAGAAAAATCAGAAGTATTTCCTCGTCAAGACATTTGTGCGTCCCTGCAAGAATACCTTCGGGAGATCAGTGAAACTGGGGATGTAACCCATCAGCGTTCGACGAGACAACAAATTTTAGTCACTTAATAATCCCATAACTACTTAGTGGCACTTAAACACCAGTACAATGGTTGGGATCTCAGCAGCGCCGATGACCTCTGTTCCAACTCTAATTTCCATATATATGGATCTCTCTGAAGTAATCAGTTAAAATTCAAGCATTGGTTTTACCTGTCCTCGTAAATGCTATGTTTTGGAAAATAAAAGAATGAGGACATATCAGGTGCGAATCGGTAACTAAGCAATTTCAAAACGATAATCAGGCCACCTCTAGTTCTTTGATATGACAACGGGAATAGGTTTAATTTAGCCAGTCGGGTATCGTACGGGAGCTTCTCTATTCCAGGAATCAGTTAGTTGATATTCTTTGAACCTTTCAACCTCACTGTCTTTCTTAAGCAGGGTTACCCTCTTGTATGCTGTACTGAGGTTTAGGACGCACAAATACTGTATACAAAGTCAAAAACGCCTTAGTGCCGACATGAATAAACCTCCATAGGTATTGATCATAAGGTTCTGAAACCTTTGGCGGCTTTTGCACTGCAGTATACAGTAGACTTCAAGCCTTGGCTAACAATTTGTGTCTGGACAACAGGTAGCTCAACGTTGTTCATCATATATGTATCATGATCATTATGTATCACAGTACACCTGAGAGTATCTGTCGGCAACTGCCGGGTTTGAAACCACTCGGATAATTTTCAGGTTCGAAACTATCACCTTTGCTTATTCTTGCTCTCCATCTCTTGACATCGTCAGCATATAGCAAGACCGATGATGATTTGAGACGAATAAGGTAATTTACATACAAGAGGAATAACACTGGCCCGAAAACTGTAACCTGAGGGACTCTCCTATGCACAGTTTTCCAGCTAGACAATTTGGAGTTCACCCGTAATATTTGTTGGCACTCAACTAGAAGGTGTTTAATCCATATTAATAGATTGCCTTCAACTCCGACATTTCTTAACTTATACAACAGCCGGTTGTGAGAAATTTTGTCTAAACGTTTGCTAAAGTCAATGTAGACTACGTCTATAGATAACGTTTGGTCTTTAAGAGAGCGCCAGTTTTCACAAGCCACTAATACGTTAGTGAGACAGGAATGACCTTATTCAAACAGCTACTTCCGAATAACCTTTTCTTAAATTTTAACAACCACGGTAGTAAGGCTAACGGGTCGGTTGTCCTCAGTTTTATGTTTCGTACCTGTTTTGAAGACATGGACTATCATGGCCTTTTCCTAGTTTTGGTAATCGACCCTGTGTTACGGATAGATTAAAACATACGCTTAAGGGGTTCGTAACGAGGTTAGCTAGTTACCTTAGTAACCTAGAATGCAGTTCATCGGATACCGGTGATTCGCCTATGTCAAGCTAATTTAGAAGACCAAAGACATCGAGTTCTTTAATGGCCACGTTGTCTAGTGTGTGGAGAGAATTTGTATGGACTGAAGGGAAGGGTGTTTTTACGGTATATACATTGCTGAAGTAGTTTGAGAATAATTGGTCTCTATTGTAGTCGTCCTCTACTAATGATAAAGCATTACTGTCTCTCCATAATGTCGGAATATTTCCTCGCCTTTTTGTCCTTTGGTTTATATATGATTGAAAGCGTTTAGAGCACTTATTAGATTTCTCGACAATATTTTGTGGAACTTTCTAGATTTACGGAGGGTCGAGACATAACTATTTTTAGCTTCTCGATATTGAAATTTTGTCACATCAGTATCCAGTAACCTAAATCTTTCCCTCCTCCTCTTACAGAGGAGAGTGCAAACCTCCCTACAAAACTATGGTGGAGAGTTTCTCGGACTCCTTGCTGTAGTCCAATGGATGTGGGATTCAGTAACTTATAGGTCTAAATTTTGAAGTGCATCACAAGCTGTTTCAATTGTTGACTGTGACCCTATTGTTCAGTCTACTGAGAATGCTGAGTGCATAACATTTTGTATATTTGTTTTCCAGACGTCACGTCTGGGTTAAGTTAACGCGTGCTCGTTTTTTGACAACTATATAATATAATATATTTCTGCAGGGGCAAGTACACGCTATTATTACAGGCATGACCTACAAAAGTGAGAAATGCATGATCACTTCTATCTAGGGGTGTCATGTAATCGAAGTTCGTGATGTCATCTTCATAATTGGTCAATATAAGATCTAGTAAGGATGATTCGGAGTCCGGGTTTTACCTAGTTGCTTCTTTCACATGTTGTACTAGGGCATATGTGATAACCGCATCAACTAGTTACTGTTCAAAGGAATTTCTGACAATTCAGTTCTCAGATTTTTCAAGTATACCGTGGGTGCATTTGAGTCCCCTAAGATTTGACATTGGCCACTTTGTGACCAAGAATTGAGACTGGCAAGCAAGGCTTCATTCACCTTACAGCTTGGACTGCGGTTGACCAAAAGAATCATCATCTCTTGTCCCTTGCATTTCAAGCTGCAGCTAACTGATTCAATCGTCCCACTCTCATAAGATACATTGTCAATAATGAAAGATGGGATAGCATTCCTAATAAGTAGAAACACTCCCCTTCTTTACGCTTCTGGATTCTGCCGGTTCTTACGCACGTAAAACCTTCAAAATCAAATAGCATACTATTTATAGGCAGCGTCAGTCAAGTTTCTGTGACCGCGATTATATCTTGTTTGGTGGATTCAATCTGTACACCTAGTTCAGACCGCTTATTGAGTAAGCTTTGGGCATTTGTGTAACAGATCCGGAGCCTATTTAAATGGCTTTGTGTTGCACACATAGTGCCTTCGACGTCATTTTCTGTCAAAGCCTTACAACCCGAAAATTTACAAATTTTAGGTCCTTTACGCTAGCGTCTAACCTAAACATTAGTTCTTTTTATGGCTTCTAGTCTTTTCACAAGGTCTGCAAGCAGCAGGTATTTACAGACCGAAATTCCTGGACCCTTTAGTTTATGTCAAAGAATTACAGAATTATTTATTTTGGGGATTTATTTACCACGACAAGTTCGTTCTTCATGCATCAAATACTTTTCATGATTAGTGTGAGATGTGACTATAGGGGTTCTGCACATGTTTTTAGCATTATGTTTTTATCCTCCTCACCAGTTAATATGTGTTCGAAAATTCCTCCGAATTGTGTCTTTCTATCAACTAGCTTGCCTAATTTAGTCACTTTTGTAATGCGCAACCCCAATATTGTTTCTAGAAAAGCATTCTGGTCAACAGGTTCCGCAAACTGAAGAGCTTGATCATGGCATTCGAATGAGCCTAGAGCCTTCGATTCTTAATACCCATGTAATCATGCTAGTGCAAAATGCGATATTTGATGGGTTCCGAGGAATTGCTAAAAGTTGTATCTCTTTTTATCTGGTGACCAGACACTGTAATTGAAATACATATTAGGAAAAAATTGTTTCACTATATCTTCTAGATAAAGTTGGATTCTGAATTTCTGCCAAATAATATATCCCAGGGCGAGCGCTTGCTTGAATTTAGTTTTTACCCAGGTGTGTACAGGAGTTGTATGGTCTGGGTATTTTTGTACGAATAATATCATTTGGCGGTAATCTAGAACTTTTTGGGTCCTTTATGAATGTTTCACTACTGTCACCTTACTTTTAGGGATCACGGTTACTTGAAAATAGTTGATGTATAAAATACATATTGCAATATGGGTACTGACAATCGATTGTCAGTATGCTGAACGAAAATGTTTGATCTTGTGGAGATTTTAAGTCAGATTATACCACCCCAGGGTTTAGGGTTTTACAGTTAATGGCCAGAGACGCATTTCTCGAACAAGCGCCACAATGCGTTTAAGAAGTGAAGGTTTAAAAAAATACAAGAACTAAGGTAACGGATTATCATACTATCCTCATCCCTATTGATTAAATACTAAAATGCTAACGAAGCCATATGAGCGTGGTGGCTTCCATAAATACGCAAATAATTTTAGTAGACGCTACGTAACGTACGTTCCCCGCAAATGAATGATGAATCCAGTAAGTAGTGGAAAACTTGCCAATTGGAATCTACCATCATTTGAAATTTTATTGATCATTATGTATTGGATTATGGCATATTATCAACAAATAGTTGCTACCTGGTTCACATCTAGTCATATTTTGTCCCCCCGGTATTCTCTAAATATTGGTAGGGTCAGTATTGCTCTGTAGCTGGTTAAGTTAATTAATTAGGTATATGGTCAAAATTATTTACAATCTACCGTCTATTCTCTAATATACAGTAAGTTTTGTTGATTACCCCGAACCATATTTTATATGGTTAGATTCTATTTACTTACGTAGGATTTGTGAATTGCTAGCCAACGAACTAACCCTTCAGACAGTGCTTACTATAACTTATAATACTATAAGCCACTGTCATGTACAAAATACAATAATGTAATCAGTGCCTTTGTTCAGTCAGTATGAATTTTCGACCCACCCTATGTCAATTTACCGTTTGACATATAATTGCAAGCTTAGCAATCCTAATCGCTGTTTGTTCGTAGATTTCGAATGCTTTATAAAGAATGTTATCAACTCCACCTGTTTACATTTTCTGATGATATGACCCGAGGTCGATGGTGGGTAAAATATACTAGGTGGTGCTTTCTATGTTGTCAGTCAGTCAGCTACAACGCAGGACCAGGCACACATATGCGTCAGCCCAAGTTGCCACACCTCATTAGCGCAACATAGAAGTAATTAATTCAGTGGTAGTAATATATAAAAGCAAGATTGTGTATAAGGACATAATACAGGAAGAAAGAATTACTTGGTAGAAAGAAAGATATAAAGCAATTTTAATCTCAGTTTAAGGGAAGACAGTGTATAAACTTACACCAGTGTGATTGATTCTGAGCCATGTCACCCAGAGTCTTTAACCACTGGTCACGATAGTCGCGCGGACCCAACCAAGTAGACTGCATATATCGACATGGCTAAGACCAGAGGTTAGTGACTTTGTCGACTGATGCCACGTTACGGTTTGACCTCAATAGCATAGTTGTCCCTCTACTTTAGTTTTTTTCTGACACTTCGTTCATCCGTTTTCATTTCTTTGTGAAAGATAATAACTCAGATCTATCTGTAGTTGTTCCAGACTACTTTTAGTCTAGGTAGATTATTAACTTCTGATTACAGTCAGTGACTACAGATCGTATAGATCAATTTCTGTTTTACCACAGTTAATTTTGCTAGAAACTAATCATCTCAATAGTAATTCGATTCTGTTACTACATTGCCAATCACCTAACATATAATCATTTGTACTAGATGGATATACCAGAGAAATACAAGTATCTGTTCAAGTTTTTGATTATTGGAGCCTCAGGCTCTGGAAAAACATGTATTTTACGAAGATATACTGAAGGAAAATTTATACCCAATATGCCTCATACAATTGGAGCAGAATTTGGCAGTAAGATCATAAATGTAGATGGGACAACTGTTAAAATTCAGATATGGGATACTGCAGGTAGTCATTTTCAGATTTGTACATTCACACTCCCATAGTATGTTTTATCACCAAAGTACATGTTCAGTGTGAGCAAACAGTAAATACTGATTTGTATTATGTTCATATATTAAATGTTTGCGTTCGTTTGTTAAATTTGATCACACTATAAACAGTATTTAAAATCAAACAGATACATGCTGTCAGACCTTGGACCTTGTCATTAAATTATTTGACTTCATATATTTATTTAAACACATCAACATTGGTACAAAAATACACCAAATATATATGTGCCACACAAATCAATTGATTTGTGTGAGATTTCATTTTATTCATTTTATTTGAACACATAAATATTGGTACCAAGGGGCACCAAATACACATGCTCCATACAATTCATTTGATTCGTGTGTGGGCTGTGATACTGCTGGTGTGTCTAAACAGAAGCAGGTGGTTTTCTTAGGGGGTCACACTCGGATCCACAAGGCAACGTAAGGAGATTCAGTCTCATGGTAGCCGGTGATCAATAATTGATTCGTATGCCATTTGTTCCTTCAAGATTCTGGAGCTCATGTGCACCATTGGTTTGAATTCAGGGTTTTCCAACTCCCCTCTGTGGATCCTCCATATCCAATATAAGGCCTTTAGTTTGTTGATTCTGAAGTGAAAATTTATCCGTTCATTGTAAGATGTTTATACTTGAGATGAAGTTGTTTTACCATACCGTTAACTTGTAAGGGGTATACAGTTTGGAGCAGTATGGGTATAAAGAGTTTATCTAGGGCATGGAATAATTTAGGTCCGCATTGGCGTCCATTGTCTGCTTTAATTGGTGATGGACAACTGCAGTGTAAAATCTATCGTTCAACGAGATTGCGTACCATACTTTTAGCAGTAATTTTGTTAAGCACTGCTCCTGGCAATCGTTTGGGAAGCTCATGTATGTCAGTAGAAAAGTGTCTTCAATTCTGGTGAGAGACTTACCGGATCAAGATGAATGTGATGAAAACGAGTGTCAGGATTTTCAGAAGAATCTGAGGGATATTGATTGTCTAGCCACCTGCAATTAATAAGGAAGTGGGCATCCCCATGTTTAAGTAAACTGAACATAAATTTCTTTCAGTTTCTTTTACAACTCACGACACTCGTTTCAACCATGTCCATCTTTGCGTTTGGGGTTATTCCGTTAGACCAGTGCTGTCCGATTATATTATATCCAGATCATCCTTATTTTGAACAACCATACAAGTGCTCAGTTTTTAACTAATAATATCGCTAGATAAGCAGTTTTAACCTAGCAATTTAGGTATATAACAACGGACTACCAAATTCTGATTGATGTAAGATGGTTGCAGCGATAATATATCAATAATGTCAACATATGCATATTTTTATGATTCAGATAAATAAACTGCTGATCAGTTGATGATACCAAGCAATACAATATAGTTGGCTAAATCCACTGTGAAATTAATTGAGTTTTAAATATAAGGACAGTACGGTAGTATTTTTTACTTAGCAAAACAATACTTTATAAAAGCAAAGAATTTACATATAGCATGATGTATCAGGATGTAGTAACATTGTAAGATTATCGGACATCCAATCGATCAGTTTTCTGTCTGTTGCGATAGTAAGCTATTTGCAAAGTATAGATGTAATTTTTTGAGAGTCCTCACATATTCTTACGCTATATTGTATCCTCTAATTAATATTTTACTCAGAACAGTACTTTCAATTTTAATTAAAGGTCAGGAGCGTTTTCGATCAGTGGCTCGTTCATATTACCATGATGCTGTTGGAGCATTGCTAGTCTATGATATTACTAGTAGAGATTCGTTTAATGAACTAGCCTCTTGGTTGTCCGATGCACGAACTCTTGCTTCGCCTGATATCATGATTGTACTAGTTGGAAATAAAAAAGATTTACAGGTAATTAACACATTTTTATTTTCTATGTTTTTGGCATACGCTATAATTCTATGCTTTGTGCATTACTTAAGTAATAATCAGATCTCTTAACTAGATTGACAAATTAGCTCAGTCAAGACAAGTTACATACTACGACAGAATCATTTTATCTAACTTGTTTATTGAATCCATATTGAATAAAATAAATAATAAACTATGTGAACTACTTAAGATGTATGACATTATTACTGTTAGATATATGAGAGCATTAGTCATTTGGCGGTTGTTCACGCTGTGGAAAGGTACTTATTGTGATGCCTGACAAATAAACTAGATCAGAGATAGTCCTGACGATTGGGGACGTAACCACACAACCAAAGTAATAACTACTTAAGATCGGTCACACACGGCTTTTTGTAGGTAGTTTTTGTTACATTAAATTCGTACTTTCCTGGCCGTCCTCATCAGTCTGTGGGGTTAGGTGAAATTTTTTGTTATTAGGGTCGATTTTTCAGTCCCTCTTATTGTGGGGATTCAGCATCGCCAGAGATACCGTTTACGTTTGGGAAACATTATACCGTTATCAAACTTCAGTAAAACTACCAGTACTACTCCATTGAAACGTAGATTTGCTGCTTTCGATCCAATCTCTCTTGAAAGGACCACCCTGGCTTATAAGGACCTCAATGAACAAGTATCCCAACTTGGAAGAAGTGGAGTCACTAAACGTCAGAAATACAATTTTATAGTTATTGGAATATCGCAAAAATTATTATGTATTCCAACTGTTATGACTATTAAGTCACCGCGATAAACAAACAGTCTGACGATCACTTCAAAATGATAGCGATGTTCATACCTTTTAAATCGTGTCCACTGTTTAGTTTTTCGCATTATCATTTATGCTGTTATTTAAATCCTATAGTGTTCAGTTTTGTTTTTATCATCAACTTGGTTTAGTACACATTTATGCCCTGTGCCCCTAAATGCCCTGGTATGACCGAGAGTGGGGTGGGACCGCCCTCCCTCTCGAAACGCTCTTACACGGCCACGCGTATATAGCCTCTGCCTGGGAAGTCCTACCCACTGCTTCTCGTGGCGGGGGTGTTGTTTACGAAAATGAGAGGACGAAAAGCGAATGTTCGGCGCTTTAACCGGATCCAAAACCAATGGTGCACATGGGATCCAGTATCCTGAAGGAACAAATGGAGTATGAACCAATCGTTGGTCACCGGCTACCATAGGACTGCATCTCTTCACGATGCTTCACTGCCTTGTGGATCAGATCTTCAGGTTGAAGGCTCGGGGTGTGGCTCCCTAAGAAAACCACCTACTTCGGTTTAGGCACCCGGACAGTATCATAGCCCACACACAAATAAAATTTTGTGTGGCGCATATATATTTGGTAACGTCTTGTATCAATATTTATGTGTTCAAATAAATAAATAAGTGAATAACTGTGTTGATTGTGAGTGACAGGATTATTGAATTCCCAATGTACTTTATTTAAATAAAACTTTGAAAACGTCTTTTTTCTAGAATTGAAAATCAATAACAACAAAATCCATTCAATATTAATGCACATATCTAAGTAATATAATATATTCCATCAAATCTTTTAATGAACTTTTTAACATAAAAGTATAATCAGTTGTTTTTTTTTTTTAATATTACAGGATAGTGATGGACATATAACTAATTGGGAGGCTAGCGCATTTGCTCAAGATAATGATCTTTATTTCTTAGAAACATCAGCACTTACTGGAGAAAATATTGATGAAGCTTTTACTCAATGTGTTCAAAAACTTATTTTTAAAATTAGAAATGGTGAATTAGATCCAGATCGTTTAAACTGTAATCGACAATCATCTAGTTTAACATTTAGGGAATATTCAAAACTGAATTCTATCCCACAAGTTCATGTACAAAATGATTCAACACTTTCATATGAATGTAATTGTTAATAATTATTTTAATAAGTTTTTCAGTTATTGTTTTTTTTTTATTTATTATTAATCTTATGACATTTATTACTGTTTAATAGGCATTCATTCTTTGTATCAAATAAAACATAATCTTTAATTTTTAACTAACTTCATATATGTTTCTCTTTTATTTTATTCTCTATTTCAATTGTTCTGTATTGTAAAATCTATCAGATTAGTTTTATTTACTATATTTCCATAACTTTATAAATTGCATTTCAATAATTGATTTAATGTATATTCTATAGATCTTCTTTCTGTTCAAAGAATTCAATCTTTTAAATGACAAGTTTAAATTTGTTCTTTATGTCATTTGTTGTTGTTGTTGTTGTTGAAACATTTGATTTAATATTATTTTCTTTCATACAAAATTCTTTATGGTTGTAAGCTTATAATTTATAATTTAGTATGTATAATTAAATGGGTTTAATTATATTATAATTCTCTTTGCTTCAATTTCTCAGGGTTTTTTCTTTTCTATCTCTGAGAAGTTTAGTAGTTATATTTTGTTTTATCCCTTTAAATAAATTAGTAATCAGTAAGTATATACGCATTGTTTTTGTTTGATGGTATTTAGTGAACCTAATCAATAATAAATTTTTCTGGTTAGCGTTTTTTTTTTTAGCGCGAGTTAGTTTTCTACGGGATGGGGTCGCTAACCCCATGCTCAACCCTCCTCCTTTATCCGAGCTTGGGACCGGCAGTAGCCTCTGGAGGGACTCTAGGCGGAGTTCTTTCGCCTGGTGATCGACTGCATCATGAAGATGTCAATATCTGAAGGGAAGCACGGGATACAGTGGATAGCTAGGATGCAGCTGAACGATCTAGACTTCGCAGATGATCTGGCTCCTCTATCGTAAACCCAACAACAAATGCAGGAGAAGACAACCAGTGTAGCTGCAGCCTCAGCAGCAATAGGCCTCAATATACACAAAGGGAAAAGCAAGATTCTCCGGTACAACACAGCATGCACCAATCCAATCACGATTGACGGAGAGGATTTGTAAGATGTACAAACCTTTACATATTTGGGCAGCATCATCGATGAACACGGTGGATCTGATGCAGATGTGAAGGCACGGATCGGCAAAGGAAGAGCAGAATATTTACAACTGAAGAACATCTGGAACTCAAAACAATTGTCAACCAACACCAAGGTCAGAATTTTCAATACAAATGTCACGATAGTTTTATTGTATGTGCGGAAACCTGGAAAACCACGAAACTATCATCCAGAAGATACAGGTGTTTATTGAAAGTTGTCTACACAAAATACTTCGGATCCGTTGACCGGACACTATTAACAACAACCTACTGTGGGAGAGAACAAACCAGATCCTAGCGCAGGAAGAAGTGGATAGGAAACACATTGAGGAAAGCACCGAACTACGTCACAAGACGAGCTCTCACATGAAATCCTCAAGGTGGAAGGAGGAGTGGAAGACCAAAGAACACATTACGCCGGGAAATGGAGATAGACATGAGAAAAATGAACAACAATTGGATGGAACTAGAAAAGAAGGCCCAGAACAGAGTGGGTTGGATAATGCTGGTCGGCGGCTTATGCTCCATTAGGAGTAACAGGCTTAAGTATGTAATCAATAATAAAATGACTCGATAGTTTTAGGTAGATAGATTAGGTGAAATTTCATCTGTATTTGGCAAGTTAACCAGGAAATAACATTAAACTGAGAAGACTTAATAAAATACTTTTAATGATGTATTTATTGTTAGTAATTCGCGTGATTTTATTACTGTTTTTTCACGAAATCAATCAAGATGTAACATTTCTCCTCTTTTGTATTATCTTTTCATATCATTCTACTCTATCAGTTTTAACCCATCACTCAATGCACAACATCTATTAACTTAATCAAAACTTCTATATGTATATTGTGTATTACTACTAAAAGTTGTTTTTTTAAAAAAAACACACATTCTCTTGAATATTCTTTGTTCTCTAAATATTACTTATTTGCACAGTACTTAGATGGTCCTAATAACAAACAAGTTTTTAATGAAACTTCGAATTAAGGTGAAAAATGAATTACTCAAGTAATTGTTAAACAAAATAATTGTATTTAATGATATGTTTATTTACACTTGTTTATTTTTGTTTTATACAAAATATGGTTAAACAATATTAAAACTACTCATAACAATATCCAAGTAGTATGTGAATGAATATGTTTTGAAAGGAAAGAAATCATATTATTTAATACAACAGTAATTCATACCAAAAATTATGTACTGATTTTGTTTTAGGTGACATCATATGGTAAAATAAAATTGGAAGAGTACAAGGTTTCCTCAATGACAATAAGTTTTAAATAAGTAGCAACAGAGTCTTAGTAATGATCTTTATTTTTTTGCTTAATTCGAAAATGTATTCTTTTCACTGAAGTAAATATGTATATACACATGATTGAAGTGCAAAATTAACAAGTGGTTAAGGAACGCTTATTTTTAATACATTCTATATGCATGAGTTGGAGGGATTGTCTTTGACGGAGGCCTCCATGGTCTTCTGTTTGGTTTATTTGAATGGTCGATGCTGACAACAAGATTCTCTAATGATGCAACCTTGGTTAATAACAAGAAAACAATTATTTATTATTAGTATAGTGGCTTTTTAGTGGTAGTTGAGTTCTTTTGGCGTATATGTATTTGGCGCCCCTCTTGAACCAATATCTGTGTTCAAATAAATAAATAAAAACTGTTCGACTACTAGCTGGTGTGTTATTTACAGTGACCAACATTTTAGCCGGTTTTAGATGCACTGTACAAATGAGATTGAAGAAAGGGTCAGACAAATACTTTGTTTTCAGACTGTATCTTTCTTTTCATGGTTCTAGTTGACATTAGTCGATAAAATATCTATATAGGCAAACTCTACAAACCACGATTTATTCAAAATTCCATAGAAAGCTTCATAGAATTCAATTTATTTGTTCCATTGAATTACATAAGCTAATACTTATTTTCAATGTAACGATTAATAAAAATGGTCATTCAACGTCATTATTGTGAATTTTTTCCTAATGTACAATTATGTGAAATATTTCAGTGATTAAAATAAACTGACTGAATGATAAAGTAAACTTATGTATCTTACATAAATTAGATGTTTGAAGTTGGTTTTCATCACGGAATGACATCAGATAGATAATTATTAGATAATAGGATGTATTTATTTATTATTTATTTTAACACATAAATATTGGTACAAAGAGGCATCAAATACATATGCGCCACACGAATCTCAATTGATTTGTGTGAGGGCTATGATACTGACCGGGTGCCCAGTCCAAAGCAGGTGGTTTTCTTAGGGAGCCACACCCCGAGCCTTCAACCTGAAGATCTGACCCACAAGGCAGTGGAGCATCGTAAGGAGATGCAGTCCTATGGTAGCCGGTGACCAACGATTGGTTCATACGCCATTTGTTCCTTCAGTATACTGGAGCCCATGTGCACCATTGTTTTGGAATTCGGTTAAAGCGCCGAACATTCGCTTTTCGTCCTCTCATTTTCGTAAACAACAGTAATGCCACGAGAAAGCACTGAGTAGGACTTCCCTGGTAGAGGCTATATACGCGTGGCCATGTGAGAGTATTTCGAGAGGGAGAGCGGACTCTCCAAGAGAGTGGGAGAGTCCGCTCTCCCTCTCTCGGCCGTACCAGGGCATTTGGGGGCAGATATTAGGATGTAGTTGATATATGTTTCTGTTCTTGTCACAGAATCCTTATTAATGTAGAAGCACCACCCTGTTGATATTAGTTTTTGATGAAAGCTAACTTCAGACAGGAGACTTCTCAAAAAGCTTTCATTCCACTACTAATAGTTATGTCGTTATTAATGATATGGGTCCCCAAAGTTTTACAGAGAAGCTATGACCATTGCAATTCAGCCATGTAAGAAGTGAGGAAAATATAAGTGGCATTAAATGATAGTTATACAATACCGCAAGTTGGCTAGATTAACTAATATAGACCACTGTATTTTAAATCACTGATCAAAATGTCTGGTTTTCACTGTGAAACTCAAGGGTCTAATTTAGATATGATGCGCGATCGTGTATACCCAATGCTCAGAAGTTCGAAAATATGACGAAATAACTATCCACTGTTGATTATTAGTTTGTAATGTTCGTTGAGCTCATATCAGTTCATAGTCAAAATTACTTATTGGAGTATCTGTACAAATGCTATATAAATACTAAATTCAGGACTTGAAAGTTCAGCGTTTGATTCTGTGGATTCGTGGTAAATAATAATTGCAAGCTCCAAACTAGGACGAATTATTTGTCCAACACTCCGTAGCTTTAAATGGTCGTCAAGCGAATATCAGTTCTGAACTCAGACAGCCTTCGATAAATAAGATTCTAAATTTTACAGAAAAATCATGATTTTGCGTAGTAGTTTGCATTTTGTTCAGATTGTTTTTCGCTGATTTCTTACAATAGGTAGTTCGCATGTTAAGAATTCTTCTATGCTTTGACACACCGTTAAACTTCAAATCTAGCATCAAAAACATTGAGAAAATTAGTTGGTAATACAGTGGTTCGTATTATTTAAACTCCAAGTAGTCTGTGCTACAAGGCAATATAATCAACTGTCTGATTTGTTTTTTTTTAAGTTCGAATCTACAGTCACAAGGTTTTCTGTCGTACTACAACTTGCAAATTATACTCTAATTGATATCGTTTTGTGATAAAAACTGACTTTTGTTTAGTTCAATAACAATAGGAAAAATTTTGTCATTTACAACACGGGATGGACCTGGTTAAACAGCTACTGAAAACCAAGGAAACTTTCGTTTTGATATGGGACGTCTTAGCAACGTGTATTTATGGTTCCACTGCAGGTCAATCCATATATTATTCAACTCATCATACCACTGGTGAGTAGATGCGTCATTCGAGACATAATTGAACTCCATTTATCATGGCTTCTCACAAGTGCTCCGGAAATCAATCACCTCACGAAGTTAACCACTAGTATTGAAGATAGTGTGGGGTCGAGGTCCTGGAGATTGCTGGATTTATTTGTGAGTATCAATCAACAATCTGCACAAAACGTCTACGCTAGTAATAATAAGAAAAAACAATACCTTTTTTAATTCCCATTGATGATAAGCTTTAGCTGCTTGTTCCATTTTAATACGATTAGCTTCTTCTAGTTGTTTTTCTTTTTCGGTTTGATGTTTTCTTTTACTCTGAAGGCTTTGTTTTAATGCGGCATCTTTTTTGGCTTTCCTGTTAGGAAATATAAAGAGACAATATTCATTTTTATTCCCAAGTATTTATATATTATCTGTATTGTTAAGTGCCTTTATCAAAATGTTCAAATTAGTTATCAGTAGGCTCGATAAAATAGCACCCAATGTCAGTAAAATTATGACAGTATATTAAACTAATCGGACAGATTGTTTACCTCAACTCCTCAAGGTCAACGATAGCCAATGCTACGGATTCGATGTGTTGGATTTGACAATTGGGGCGTGCGGCAGCTCGAAGGGGCCGTCTTCATTGTTCTTTATTTTTTCTACTCATTCGATATAAATTTGTTTAAAACTTGGGTTGATTTCTAGATTGTATTGAGGTGGTAAGAGATCTTCGCCACTAGCTAGTGGAGCTACCGTACAATGTTGCATCTCCTTTAGAATACTTAATTTAAACAACTACGCGACCCCCAGTAATTTCGATTGTTAGTAATGACAGGTGAGATGTATATATACATGGGCACTTCATTATTCATAGGGTCTCATACAAGTTTTTCAGTTTAAATTTAAACAATTTGCCACTCTTTCTTGAAAGCTAATCCATTCATTTCATAATGAGTTTATCTGTGGTTAATTAAGAAGGTTCTAATTCTTATTACAACCCATTAATCAATATGCTGTCAGATGTTTTCATGGGAGTCACAGATTTTAAATTTGTTGGTTAGTCAATTACTGAGTTAATAACGATTTCAGCAAAAAGGTGTTTGGTCGTCATTTTTATTACAAAAGTTAACAGTCATTAAAATATACTAATAAGTAGTACAAACATACATATAGTTTTGACATCACACAAACCGCCTGGGGCTGCTGTCGGCCCCAAGCCCGATTAAAGGAGGAGGGTTGGGCATGGGGTTAGCGACCCCATCCCGTAGAAAGCTAACTCGTTAAAGAACCGCTGACCAAAAAAGATTATTCAAATAAGTAATTCAAACATACCTGTAGGTATGACATCACACAAAGATCTTAATTTGCAGCTAGTATGAACTCATACTCATGAAGATGTTATAAGTGAACTGAGGTACAAAGTAGTAAATTTATTTGTTTTTCGTACAAACATGCATGCGCATTGTGTGTGTAATGCATAAAATGTTGTGAATGAAGCAAGCAAAGTTATATAGTCATATGGAAAATTTAGACAACTTAGTACTTACGTTTACAAAAAAGAATACCTAATCTGTATATACAGGAGGCCACTCATCGGCCATACAGTATGATAAGTATGTGTTTTATTTATACTCTTAATGACAAGAACTTTTTTAGTCTTCCTAGACCTAATTAAGTTTTAGAATAGGAATTAGCCTTTAAGATTAGTCTATATGTGTCTTTGCCTAATCTTAACTCTGATCCTAAACCCTAGCTTTAAGTATCATTTATTTATTTATTTTAACACATAGGTATTGGTACAAATATCAATTGATATGTGTAAGGGATGTGATACTAACCGGGTGCCAAAACCGAAGCAGGTGGTTTTCTTAGGGGGTTACACCCCGAACCTTCGACCTGAACGTCTGACCCACAAGGCAGTGGAGCATCGTGAAGAGATGCAGTCCCATGGTAGCCGGTGACCAACGATTGGTTCATACTCCATTTGTTCCTTCAGTATACTGGAGCCCATGTGCACCATTGGTTTTGGAATCCGCTTAAAGCACCAGGTATTCGCTTTTCGTCCTCTCATTTTCGTAAACAACACTCGTGGTGCGAGAAGGCAGTGAGTAGGACTTCCCTGGTAGAGGCTATATACGTGTGGCCATGTGAGAGCATTTCGAGAGGGAGAGCGGACTCTCCCCACTCTCGGCCGTACCAGGGCATTTGGGGGCAAAAAAATGATGATACTAGAGCTTTAAGTATCTAGTAATGTTTACCTCATTAAAATTAACCAATTCACAGTCGTTATTCAATGGTTCGATAAACATCATTCTAGACTAACATGTGCACGATAACCTTGTGATCGCTTAGTCTATCCAGATTGTTTTGGTAGTATACATTAGTGTTATCATGATCAATGATGACAGATTCGAAAATTAGATATGTCAGTCTCATTTTGTTCTATATTATCAAATATCATTCTGAAAATGATTTTTTACTTTTCTATCATATTTTAACACTGAATATAAACGATGGATGAAATGACTGAATTTTGTGTATACTTGAAGTCATAAATTTCACTCAAATAGTATGATTTGTGGTACGAAATGAGACTTTAAAAAAAAAAACCCATTTTCAACTATGCTCCATCTAAAATAGCAATATGTATTATAATTTATGTAATAAGAACATACACTGGCAGTGAAGAATGAACACGATAAACGTTTGAATTCGTTGAACATGAGAAGTTAAATGAAAATATGAACTTTGTGAATGTTAATAGGAATTTTAATAGAGGGATGTATTAATTACTGTAACACAATAATCTATTACACTCTGATGTACTTGGCTTTAGGTTAATGTTTATTTTTAGAATTTTAGAGTTGTTATTACCATCTAGCTATCCAATCCAAAGTATGTAAGGTAATGATTAAACTAGCAACTAAATGTCGAATAATTTAGCAACAAAACTATTAGTGAATGCTCTGGTAAGGCCGAAAGTGGGGAGAGTCCGCTCACCCTCTCGAAATGCTCTCACATGGCCACGCGTATATAGCCTCTACCAGGGAAGTCCTACTCACTGCATTCTCGTGGCATTACTGTTGTTTACGAAAATGAGAGGACGAAAAGCGAATTTCCGGCGCTATAACCGGATCCCAAACCAATGGTGCACATGGGCTCCAGTATCCTGAGGGAACAAATGGCGTATGAACCGATCGTTGGACACCGGCTACCATGGGACTGCATCATCTCACGATGCCCCACTGCCTTGTGGATCAGACGTTCAGGTCGAAGGCTCGGTGTGTGGCTCCCTAAGAACACCACCTGCTTCGGTTTGGGCACCCTGGTAGTATCACAGCCTTCACACATATCAATTGAGATTTGTGTGGCGCATATGTATTTGGTCCCTCTTTGTACCAATAGCTATATGTTAAAACAAATAATAAAGTCATAAACAACTTTGAGTCTGACACATGTGTGCATCGGCTCAAGTTGCCTTATCATATCAGGTTAGTCTAATGACATTATCAAGATAAATTTCCAGATTAAGTTGAAGTAGTAACGGTATTATAGGTAATTGATATGATTTAGAACAGACATTATTATTCGAGAAGAGAAAATGAATTCGTATAATAAAAAGTATAAATAATTTTAAAGCTTAAGCTCTAAAGAAAGACAAAGAGTGAATGCATCTTTGTTGTTGTGAACAATTCCTAATCGCATCACCCAAAATTTTCAACCACTAGTTACAATAATCGCGTAAACCGTAACAAGGTAAACCTCATTTATCAACAGGGTTCAGCACAGTTTTCACTAACTTCATAAATTGATGCTAAATCTCAGTTTAGTTGTCTCTAGTTTTCTTCAAGCCTACTACATCAAATAACATCGCCCGTTGAGTTAGGCTATGGTTTGGCATACATGTTACATACTCATATAATCTCAGTTGATGAAAGTTCACTATTTCATCAACCAATTTGTCATGTTTACCTAGAAACAAACGAATACCTACTGCTTTTCTGAATAGTCTCAACTCTGATCTATGCACGGTAAAAGAACTAAGCCATTCATACAGTGATTGATTTATCTCTACCTTCCCTTCCTTTATTTTTTTCTTTTTCAAACTTCTTAATATTTTTGTTTGACTTGTAACCATTTTAAAGATTCTTCACATTGTCTTCCAACTTCTATTTAATCACTATAACGCCTTCATTATTCATTTCAGTCAAGTTTTTGTTCTTAACTTATGGTTATTATAAGCTATTTTATTATTTTATCTTTGTTTAATGAGTTATTTGATTCTCCATCAGTTAATCCATTCAATTAATCATGTTTTCTCATATTATTTATCCTTGTAACTAGGATTATTTTACAACTGTCTTTTAATACTCGACCGTTGTTGCTACTTTGAGGTGGTGGTTGGGCTTGCCTATCGTGATAAACCAATCGAGATATACTGGCTGGAACAACCGCTCCTCAAGGTCCTACCATGCCAAACAGGTTGGTTGAAGAACAGTAAGACTAAAAGCGGCAAACCCAAGGTCTGAGGGCGAAGTCATACTGCTGACTGCACAGAGGTGAGACGGCAGTAAGGTGTTTTCTTCACACAACCAGCACAGCAGCAATGCTGCCTTCCTACATGAAGGGGTGTGGTTAGAAAGGGTCGTCTCTAAAAATGCACACCTTGCCTCATCCCGCGGATATCCATCTCCGGCGATAAGGTCTCAACAGGTAAGGAGCTAGCACGAAAATTACACACAAAAAGGTCGTGTGTGACCGACCTCAAGCAGTTGTCCCTTGGGCACTGCGGTCACACTCTCAGGTCACTAAGACCACTTTTAATCCAATTTTCTTTTCAGGTACCTCCAGAAGAACCCTTCCACGATGTGGGCAACCGGAAAGTGATAACCACCCTCATACTTCTAAAAGCACTCAAGACTGACTGTCTTTTAGCAATTACTATCAATAATTATATTGTTTTAAACGACTATGTTTAACATAATAGTTAAACATAATAAGCTATACAAAGAATTCATGTTAGTGATTTTTACGTTAATGAACTAGTATTATACTGATTAAGCTATCCAATATATACACATTATAGTTACATAATATACCCTTGTGTACCAGGGTAATTTTGGATTGGTTTTCAGGAGAACCGGACACCATCCAGACCTTCACATGACAATCCAAACAGTACGGCTGAATCCCGTTTAACATGAGAGCCAGACACCACATAGGCCTTAACGCTACAAACTGAATAGTACAGTTCAATCCTGTGGAGCAACCACACAGGTACCAAGCACTCTGGTGGATCAAATATATACAAAATCATGTTTTCTACGCGAGTTTTTTTTCCAAAAAAATATTATATTTACCAATCTTCAAATGCTTGTTGATTTAAATATTGTTTTTCATTTTGTTCCGTTTCTTTGGATTCTTGTTCACGTTTTTGTTTAGATAAATTTTCACGATGTTGTTTAATGATTGATTCATCTTTATGTGCTTTCCATGCATTGAATGCCTTCAACGGAAAGAATGAAGATAATATACAGATCATTTGTGCATGGGATAAATAACGGTATATTTATAATTTCAGTGGTTAAGATCATGAGTCAGTTGAAGCTAGACCACCATGGAAAACCGGAAAGCACTGGATGGCCGTTTCGTTCAATGGTGGATGTGTCGCTCGATTTCGTGGATTAGTTGAAGTTAGACATTAACACCGTTGGATGCCAGTTGGCTCAGTGGTCTAGTGGTTAAGTGCTCGCGCGCAAAACCAGTTGGTCCTGGGTCCGAATCTCACAGGGCGCGAGGTCGTGGATGCGCACTGCTGAGGAGTCCCATAATAGGATGGAACGGCCGTCCAGTGCTTCCGGGTTTTCCATCGTGGTCTAGCTTCAACTGACTCATGATCTTAACTATTGAAATTACTACAATCTCCACAAAACCCCTTCTGATAGTATATTTATAAGGTTATCATTTTATTGAAACTAATGTTTATTAATTTTTTTAAAGGGACAAAACGTTTGTGAATTGATTGTTTTTTGCGTATTTTTTTGTATCGGAGTGAATGTAAACTCTGAGATGTGGGAGGTACATCCAGCTGATAAGTTCCAAATAAAACAAAATGCGCGTCGTGGTTTCCACTGCTGGCCATCATCTATGTCTACTAAAAATATATAGAGATTGATTTTCATAATGACTTCAATATAGTTGCTAAAGTGGTGCATTTTTTTTCTAATACTTTTAGGATAGGTGATTTGTGGGGGTTTATTCTCAACCATTTTATCTAATAGAGAACTATTGAAAACAGAAAATACTGAATAATTGTTCCATTTCTGTTTGAGGCTATTTGTTGGTAAAGATCGACTGAACTTAAAACTTTTATGTATTGTAGTGAGTATAGTGTCATTAGACCACTGAGTTGACGTGTAATGATATATATTTCTAAGTTCAGTCAATTAGCCATATTGTACAACTGCTTTTCATTGTCATCGGTTGATAGCCGTTTTAACTTTGACGAGTCATTTCAATGTTAATCAGAGAGAAAGGAATATTTTCTATAAGCAAATAGTACATCATGATTTTAGTGCGTGGGCTGAGATACTGCCCGGGTGCCCAAACCGAAGCAGGTGGTTTTCTTAGGGGACCACACCCCGAGCCTTTGACCTGAACGTCTGACCCACAAGGCAGTGGGGCATCGTGAGGAGATGCAGTCCCATGGAAGCCGGTGACCAAAAGTTGGTTCATACACCATTTGTTCCGGCAGGATACTGGAGCCCATGTGCACCATTGAATTGGGATCCGGTTATAGCGCCGGACATTCGTTTTTCGTCTTCTCATTTTCGTAAACAACACTCGTGGTGCGAGAAGGCAGTGAGTAGGACTTCCCTGGCAGAGGCTATATACGCGTGGCCATGTGAGAGTATTTCGAGAGGGAGGGCGAACACTTTGACATGATAGGATTTATTCGGTTACAATTTCTTGTTGGAACTTAGGAAATTCTTTGCAAATTCAATCACTATAGGTGATCAACTGATTGTTTTTGTTAGGCTGTCAAATTTCCAGAGATGATGATAGCTAAAATAACAAAGAAACGTTGTCTAGACAACTAATGGAGATCAGAGAAAATCAGAAAATTGTTTCATTACAGTTCGAACATCCTCAGCAAAGTGTATCCACAATATATATATATATATATATATATATATATATATATATATATATATATATATATATATACTAAGCGGTGGTCCATATTTTCAGCCATTCAGTAGTTTTAATGGTTGTCTTTGTGATGTACAAAATATCATTAAACCCGGGAATATTAGTAAGCAACAGTCATTGAACGCCCTGAATCTATGTTTCATATCTTCAAGTACCTGTTAATTTCAGTTAATCATCACTGGTTTATCTTAAGAAAGTAAATCCTAAGGTTTTTAACTAATAGTTTTCAACCATGAAACAAAGTATACTGTCGTATCATGATACTTTATTGATAGACAGCGTTGCAAACGTTATTAATCAAACATGATAGGCACAAAAGGCTATGCATAGTAAAATTACTGAATACCAGATTTCACTCCGTCTTTAAAAACACTCAAATTCATAAGGATTAACCTGTGAATCATCAACATCCTAACTAAAAACCACAGCAAAGTTACTAATTGCCTTTCAAATAATCCACATTTATTATAAAAACCTATTTTATGATCAAATCGATGTCATTTTAGTCTAGTTCTTAAACAGTAATCGAATGCTGTCTACTAAGTTGCAATGTGCCCACTAGTCTAAGCTGTTTGACGTTTAGCTCATGTAACCACGATTCAGTCTAAGGTAAGGTATTCCAGATGCGTCTCGCTGTAGATTGTAAAGGTGAGTAGTGTAGGTTCAGATCCCATAAGGAACATTATTTTCCTCAAGATTGGAGATATGATTTGCTGAAGAGCACCCACTAGGACAGAACTTAGATTCACTATTTATTGTTGACTAAACCCAACTACCAAACATGCATATAACCGACTTCACCATCAGAAACACACTAAGTAATCATACCTTTTGTGAGTACTAGGTAAGGATGGCAAATCAATTGAGGAAGTAGTGAAACTTAATCAGTTGAGATGGCTGGGATATGTTTTGCGCATGTCCGACTGCCACGACGTGCTATGTTTTATGGTGTAGGAGTAGGTTGGAAGAAACCTAGAGGCGGCTAGACCAAAACATGGCAGAAATCCATGAAGTCACTGACAAGTGGACTGAGTCATATTGGTAGGTGTAGACTACCTGGTTGAGGACCGCGAGACGATAGCAACCGATGGTTAGAGATCTTGAATGACATGACTCAAAATCGTTTGCAATGGCGCAGGTGCATCCACTCTTTGTGTTCTCTCAAACTCTAATCTTCTGAATTCTTCATGTCCTTTATTTTCTTTCCCAATTTATTCCACTGGACTATACTCCTTTAATAACATCATCAAACCTTAATGTCCCCTATCTCTACTTATACTTTCAGTACCTTTACCACTATAGGATTTGAATCGATAACTGAATCTCTGTGCTAATGTGGTATGGCAACTCGAACTGATGTACGTACGTACGAAGTTCCACGTTGTTACTGACTGAATGACTAACCTTTTGTGAGTTTAGTTTACGTTCCTGTTCTTCTTCAAGCTTCTTTTTCTGTGCCAATTCTTCTGCTTTACGTTTTTTCATTGCATCAATTAAAAGTTGATGTTTACTCTGCTTCCATGCTTGAAAACACATTTCATTTGATTTCACTCTTTCCAATTTCTATATTTTTTTTAAAATATATAAATCAAATTTAACATATTGAAGGTATACAATCAAACAGATTTATCTAACAGTATGTTGTTTGTAAATATACAAGCTATTCTGAACAATCATTTAAAGTTTGCAGTTATCCATTCACATTTTTATGTTCTGTATGAGTGCAACATTCATACTTTTATGGCATATTTTCGTTTAGTTATTGAGTGAGTACTACGTATATGAACGATGCAAATGTAAAGCCACGGATCGGCAAAGCAAGAGCAGCATATTTACAACTGAAGAACATCTGGGAATCAAAAAAATTGTCAACTAATATCAAGGTCAGAATTTTCAATAGAAATGTCAACACAGTTCCACTGTATGAGGCGGAGACTTGAAAAACTATGAAACCCATCATCCAGAAGATACAAGTGTTTATTAACAGTTGTCTACGTAAAATACCTCGGATCCGTTGGTCAGACACTATCAGCAACCACCTACTATGAGAGAGAATAAACCAGATTTGGGTGGAGGAATAAATCAGGATGAAGCGCTGGAAATGGATTGGACACATATTAAAGAAAGCACCGAACTGTGTCACAAGACAAGCCGTCACATGGAATCATCATGGCTAAAGGAAAAGAGGTAGACCAACGAACACAAAGATCAGATGAAATCTTCAATGAAGTTTACATTATGATATGCTTTACTAACTCAATAAATAAACAGGAAACTAAATGAAAATACTGGATATCATATGCGTATTGAATTTCAGAGAATAGTTGGCTAATCTCACACTGAAATTTCTTAAATCTCCACAAAATCCCTTCTGATAAAACAATATTTCTAGAAAGGGTTTTGTGTAGAATTGGTAATTTCAATATTTGAAATCATGAATCAATTGAAGCTAGACCACCATGGAAAACCTGAAAGCACTGGATGCCGGATCAATGGTCTAGTTGGTTAAGTGCCTGGCGCGAGACTGATAGGTCCTGGGTTCGAACCCCGCGGGGGGCGGGGTCGTGGATGCGCACTGCTGAGGAGTCCCATACTAGGACGAGACGGCTGTCCATTGCTTTCAGGTTTTCCATGGTGGTTTAGCTTCAATTGATTCGTGATTTCAACTACTGAAAACAATGTTTAGTCCTTTAGTATTATTGGAATTTAGTCAGTCAAATTTAGTTAACTCGTTAATGTATACATCATATAATGTTATTACATAATTAGAGGTAATCTTGGCGAGACTCTAATTTATGGACGACCTTTGAATGAATCTTAAGTGACCTTGAGAATATTAGCCAATCAGTAAACAGTATGTATAGAGTAAAAATATATTATACAAAACCAAAGAAATAAAGTGGATACACTTCTTATATGTGGTTCAAAAACTCGTCAAGGTTAGAAAGAGGTTCAGAAGTTCTAAAATCGTAATGCACGCAGTAGAGGAAACCATCCATATGGCTATAGAATAGTCGGCCTCTGGAGCCATGATAGTCTCAAAAACTCTTTCAGCCGTGACCACATAGTTAAAATATTGTTTATGTGCACTTCGATTATTGAGTACATAAAATGCCACTTGTGGATAACGACACAATGCACATGATCAACCCTATGTAGGAGTCTGTACACCCTCCAAACATCCGTATATTTTGTAGTACCTGGCTGCAGCCAGTGTTACTGGTACTTTTATTATTCAGTTGTCATAAATTGCCTTAGTTAGGAATTATATATAAGGTTTTCATCACGAACTGACATCAGCTATAATGCCAGAAATCTATTTAATCAAGTGGATGAAAAGCTTTTATGTTAAAATCCGATATCTGTTATTTCATACCTAATTGGTTCGTTTACAAATTATCATCTCATCGTTTTATTTATTATAGCCGCTCAATCATCACGTTTTTGTATAAAATTCTTTATGAACCTATCGTACATTATACATTAAACACTGAAATTGACTTCATAACCTTGAAATCTTTAAAACACTTCTGATTGATTCGTTCATAAATTAAAGTCTTGTCGTAATCTATAGCAACTCACATTCAATTGAGTTTGCTCTCACCTAATTCTGTTAAGCCCTTTTATTAGCTTATTAAACGGACAAAGTCACCTGCACTATAATAACTCATTGTATCCTTATTACTGTTGCGAATGTATGTACCTTTATTATTGTTATCCTTGTATGAATACGTATGCTCGGCAAGCCTTACTGCCTACGCATTTATTCACGCTACTAGCTTTACTATTAACCGCTTAATTGACTCGATGATTCATTCATTTCACTATGTATATATATGTCCATGTTATTCATATTCATGACTCGCTCGATCGCTCGCTCTTGCCCTTGCTCTCTCTCGCTCGCTTGCTTGCCTGTTTGCCTTTCGGCACAACTACTTCATGCTTGCTTAACGCATCTGTAATATTGGATATCTGTGTGTGGTCCCATAATAAACGTAATTAACACTTCGTATTCGCCTTCTGATTAATATACCGTTGGAGCATTATTTGGTGACGGTTACCGAGACGTACTGTATACGGAGTTTAAGGAATATATCGAACACCGACCACCACAAATCATCTATGTATATAAAATTGAATTAAATCATCAAATTATATAAAATAATTCTATTAGTAATATAGTTTACTTCTTTCTGTTTTTTTGTTTCATCAATTTCATTACATAAATTTGACATATGTTCAATACGTGCACTTTTAACTAATCGATTTCTCCATGATTGATATGCTATATCACGTAGAATCATTGCATTCAATGGATATTCATTATTAATTTTTTGATATGAATTATGCATAGATGTGTTAGATACATTTTGTTTGGTTAAATGATATAAACTATTTGATCGTTTAATTGATGATGATAATCTTGGTGATGATTTTATATGATCTTTTAATGGATAAGTTGATTTGATAATTATATCAGTGGTTTGTGTATTATTATTATTATTATTATTATTATTATTATTATTATTGTTAATTATATTTTGTTGTTCTTTCGAAGTAATCACCAATGTATTAACAAGTGATTGATCATTTGGATCAGTTAAAGTAATATCATAAGTTGTTGGTTGACTTGATGAAAAAGATAAGATAAGAAAAAAAAACATAATATAGACGAGTGATTGTTTCATGATCAATTTGAAAAATACATTACTTTGATCAATAATTGAGAGATATCATTTATATAAAATATATGGATAACATTTTTCTGGTTACTGTAAAAAAAACTTTACAGATTTTGGCAGCATCATTGATGAACACGGTGGATGTGATACAGATGTGAAATTGCGGATCGGCAAAGCAAGAGCAGCATATTTACAACTGAAGAACATCTGGAACTCAGATCGATTGAAAACCAAGGTCAGAATTTCCAACATAAATGTCAACACAGTTCTATTGTATGGGGCGGAAACCTAGAAAACCACGAAAGCCATTATCCAGAAGATACAGGTGTTTATTAACAGTTGTCTACTCAAAATACCTCGGATCCGTTGACCAGAGATTATCAGCAATAAGCTACTGTGGGAGTAGAGGAACCAGATTCTAGCGGAAGAGTAAATCAGGAAAAAGCAGTGGAATTGAATAGGACACACATTGAGGGAAGCACCCAACTGTGTCACAAGACAAGCCCTCACATGGAATCCTCAAGGCCAAAGGAAAAGAGGATGACCAAAGAACACATTACACTGAGAAATGGAGATAGACATGAGAAAAATGAACAACAATTGGTTGGAGCTAGAAAGGAAAGCCCATTACAGAGTGGGTTGGAGAATGCTTGTCAGCGGCCTATGCTCCATTAAGAGTAACATGCGTAAGTAAATAAGTATATCGATAACATAGATGAGTTTAATATTTAGTCAGTTTAAAGCAACATAGAACCCGGCATATGTGTACATCGGTTCCAATTATTACATCATATCAGTATAGTGAAATGAAATGATCAATATAAGTCCCAGAGTAGTAGTAGTGGTAACAGTATTAGTACTAATCAAAACGATTAGAAATAAGTAATATTATTCGAGAGGAAAAAATTAATTCGTGGAATAAAATGTTCAAAATCCTTTTAAAACTCAAGATCTAAGGGAATACAAATAGAAAATGAATTTATGCTACTGTGATCGGTTTTGAATAAAATGGACATCTCTAACCACTGGTTCCAATCCTCGTGAGGACAATAACCCGGTAATCTGAACTTATCTACATGGTTCAGTCAACTAGCCAATCTACTCTTAAATCGGTAAGAACCATCCTCTGAGATAGGCAGTGATTAGGTTTATAAAAATTCATCACATCTTCGACTGACTTTAAAAAGGAACGTAAACCAATTTGTTTGTGTACGATATATATTAGAAATGGATGAATAATTAAGAAGCTAACAGAAAGGGATCACAGTATTTTCATGGAATATCACAACTACTATGATCAATGAATCATCAAATTTCTAGGAGAAAATCTTTGTGATGAAAGAAATATTTCTCCTGACCGAATGTTAGACTATTATTAAAATAGTTTAATAGGTTTGAACCTTTGATTTTTATTGATGAATAAAGAAAACTGATTTCTCTTTCCACTAGTATTACTAAAAAAAAATATATTATCATGCATCATCTGATCCTAGTCTCAATCCATTTCTTTATTTGGTAACACATAGATGAGAATGGAATATAACTCAACTCAAAAAGAGTAAGGCGGTGATAGAGACCACAAGTAAAGATTCAGTTCACATTCAAATATTAATTTTTAAATAATGTCTCAATATAGTCATTTATATGCATATTTACATTATAGTGCTTTTTGATAAAATTTAAAATAACGATCGCTTTAATATATATCGCGCTGTACTAATAGGTAACTGAAATTGTCAGCATGTTGCGGAATAAATGTCATCGTAAAAATTAATTGATTGTCTTAATTTTGATCCCTTCATAACATGATCATTTAAATTCAATTAACGAGAAGATCTATGCTTGAGGATAATCATTCTTTTATCAATGTCTAATAAAAGTGCCATTTCAACATACACAAAACGAAAAGCAAGATTGTTATATACCAGTGAAGATTAAACTACAGGTAACTTTTGAGGACTATTAATGGACAAATATTCTATAAATATTCTTATTGTATAGTTATTCAAGAATTACATTATGTGTATTTATATTCCACTTATTATAAGCTTTATTTTGACCCATAGATTATTACTATACGATTTATTATTCTTGAGTTATAACCTGTCTATTAATTACTGTCTCCCACATTCACAGCCACTTTTTGGCCTATTTGTGTACATATGTTATTTTCTATTTTATGGTACGTTGTGGTCTGCCTGATTGATATATAAACCGAGTATGTCTGAAATAAATGATTTGGTTGATTCGGAAGCTGCTTTTGTGTTCTGGACTCAAGAGGACAGGTTAGAAGGACGTAGGACCCAATAGGACGCTAGACTGCTCAGACCGGTTGAACGTCATTGGCCTTGTCATAGTGCGAATATTCGTATAAGCCGTATTCTGATTGGTGTATAAGTCACGTGATCGTAAGCCGGACATCAAATCATAACAAATTGGCGACGGGGATGGGATTCGAACCCACGCGGGGAAACCCCAATGGATTAGCACGGATGAAGGCACTTGCACGTGGGTATGTATATTGGCCGAATATTGACGCTCAGATCAAAGACTATGTTGAGAGACGTTCCGCGTGTGCAAAAGCTATCAAAGCCCCTCGCAAGACAGAAATGCAGAGTTGGGGGACACCGGAAAATCCGTGGTCGAGAGTACATGTGGATTTCGCAGGTCCCATAAACGGGAAACAGTACTTGGTGATTGTTGATGCCTTCTCAAAATGGCCAGAGATCCACTGCATGAAGTCTCTTTCGACAAAAGCTACTATCGAAAAACTGAGACAAGTATTCAGTTGCTTTGGGTGTCCAGATGTACTGCTGTCTGATAATGGACCACAGTTTACCTCTGCTGAATTCTCGAAGTTCTGTGTCGCAAACACCGTCAGGCATATAAAGACACCCCCATACCATCCGCAGTCAAATGGTCTAGTGGAGAGGTTCGTCGATACGTTTAAAAGAGCACTGCTTAAAGCCGAAGGAGAAGGGGAAATAGAAGAGATTATCCAACTATTTCTACAAACCTACAGAGCAACACCCAACCCAACAACAAATAATCAAGAAAGTCCAGCAGAAGCAATTTTTGGGAGAAAGATTAGAATACCTATAGAGCAAATGAAACCAAAACCTACAGCCAAACTCCGCAAGAACAAACGAATGGAACAGCAATTCAACAAGCGACATGGTGCATTGCCCAGAAGCTTTAAGGTGGGACAAGCCGTAATAGCAAGAGATTTCGCGGGAGTAAAGCCAACCTGGAAGTTTGGCATCATAATACGAAGAAAAGGGAAGGTTATCTATGAAGTAAAAGTTGGACGAAAGATATGGGTGCGACACGCAAACCAGATGCAGCCAACCAGACAGGAGCGGGAGACAGGAAATGATATAACGTCGAGTATACCAATAAATATATTAACTGAGTCGGATAATGAAATTAAAAATGACCCGAAAAATAACAGGACACATACAACACTCCCCAGGAGGTCGCAGCGTATCAGGCGGAAACCTAATCGAATAAAAATAAATCCTAAGGATCGTTATTATCTCTAATGCTTCAAAAAAAAAAAGGGAGGTGTTATATACCAGTGAAGATTAAACTACAGGTAACTTTTGAGGACTATTAATGGACAAATATTCTATAAATATTCTTATTGTATAGTTATTCAAGAATTACATTATGTGTATTTATATTCCACTTATTATAAGCTTTATTTTGACCCATAGATTATTACTATACGATTTATTATTCTTGAGTTATAACCTGTCTATTAATTACTGTCTCCCACATTCACAGCCACTTTTTGGCCTATTTGTGTACATATGTTATTTTCTATTTTATGGTACGTTGTGGTCTGCCTGATTGATATATAAACCGAGTATGTCTGAAATAAATGATTTGGTTGATTCGGAAGCTGCTTTTGTGTTCTGGACTCAAGAGGACAGGTTAGAAGGACGTAGGACCCAATAGGACGCTAGACTGCTCAGACCGGTTGAACGTCATTGGCCTTGTCATAGTGCGAATATTCGTATAAGCCGTATTCTGATTGGTGTATAAGTCACGTGATCGTAAGCCGGACATCAAATCATAACAAAGATTCTCCTATACAACACAGCATGCAACAATTGAATCACGGAGAAGCTTTGAAAGATGTAGAAACCTTTACATATCTGAGCAGCATCATTGATGAACACGGTGGATGTGATACAAATGTGAAGGCACGGATCGGCAAAGCAAGAGCAGCATATTTATAACTGAAGAACATTTGGAACTCAAAACAACTGCCTTCAAGCCAACATCAAAGTCAAAATTTCCAATACAAATGTCAAGACAGTTCGACTGTATGGAGCGGAAATTGGAGAACTACGAAATCCATCATCCAGAAGATATACAGGTGTTTATTAACAGTTATCTACGCAAAATACTTCGGATGCGTTAGTCAGACACTATCAGCAACCACCTACTATGAGAGAGAATAAACCAGATTTGAGTGGAGGAAGAAATCAAGAAGAATCGCTGGAAATGGATAGGACACACATTAAGAAAATCACCCAACTGTGTCACAAGACAAGCCCTCACATGGAATCTTCAATGCCAAAGGAAAAGTGGAAGACCAAAGAACACATTACACTAAGAAATGGGAACAGACATGAGAAAAATGAACAAGAATTAGATAGAACTGGAAAGGAAGGTTCAGCGAAGAGTGGGTTGTAGAATGCATTTTGTTTCGTTATTGTAGTGGTTAAGTACTGCTTATAAGAATATAATTTTCCATAAAAATTTCACTTCCATCGTCTAGCGTTATCAATATATGTCTTCTATGAACATGCTGCTGTGGTGCATTCTGAATTACGGAATAAAGAAAGCAAACATATGAAAAATTAGGGCTTGAAATGAAATCCTCAGTAAGAACTATGCTCTTATATGTAACACTCATCCTTTTGACTGGATAAAAAATACCCGATAATGTTTAGTGCTGCAAACACACTGAACATTGAAAAACGTATACGCTACGAATTCTATTTGATGATATCTAAAATGGTATTGAAAGTTCCATAATTAAACTATGATTCCTTCGGCCCAGAAAACGCATCACTTAAAAACCATTCATATTAGTAGCTACATATTTTTTCTGTCCTTTTAAGATTACAACTCAACAAATTCACAAATGGTTAAACCATAGAGAAACTTCAAAGTGTTATTTAACATATTATTCTAAAAGTTAAAACCCTATTTATTAGACCTGAAGATTTTTAAGTTTACTTCTATAGGGTTTAAGAGGACATTTATCAGGAAAGTAATGGTAATAAGTAGCTCAATAAACATTATTTCTACTTATTGTTGTTATATTCTAAAATGTTTGTAATTCAATATTTTCATCTGTACATAAGTAAAAACTATATCGTCTACAGATCTTTATCATATTGTGATAAGTCTTTTAAAAACTATATGTTGAATGGTATCATACATTGTTAATAAGTATAAGTTACTTTAAATCAATAAATATTCTGAAACTTTTAAATAAGACATAGTATTTACACTAAGATGAATCCGATGATATGAACAATATTTAGCTTACTTTGAATTAAGAATATGTCTTCTAGTGCGTATAGTGGGTTTTATAACAGGTTCTATATCGTCTGGTGGTCTTGCCTTATCATTTTCCTTTCTAAAAGTGAAGTGAATCACATCATAGAATTGTATAACATCATTTAAAGTTTAATAATGTTTGGTTTAAATTTAATACTGAAGAAGAACAATGGTGACGAATTATAATAAAATGTTCAAACATCCTATAATCCAACATCACCGTACAAGATATTATAAGTAGTGCATATTACAGTCTTTATGGTTCTATTGTAATTTCAATTTTTCTATTCAGTTCAATAATAACGATAAGCACGAAAGCTATTGAGACAAAGATTTCCAAAAGCATCGACGTTTAGGAGTAGTCAGTGATTCATAAGTTGAATGAAATGGATCCTAGAATATCTTGAGTTAATATAGTTAGTATTCGTCAACTTCAAAGCTGCTCACCATTGAGTACATATTGAGTCATATCCATATTGGCTATCGGCTGTTTAGACTGATATAAGAAACTGAATGTTGATTAAATCAGCAAGTTTACTTAACTTATTTATCGTTTTTACTCGGCAAAACTAAGCTCATTATCATTAGTTAACAAAGGTGAGCCAATAACTAAGCCATTTATGGCCACCCTAGATAATGTTCAAGTTCTAATCTATTAATAAGACTTTGGTTTTGATTGATTAACTCGTTAAATAGTAATATCAGTAATGAAGCCCAAAAATATCTCACTGTTTGCCGTCACATTATTAATAAAGAAAAATATATAGGACTTAACTTCTTTAAGTGGAAGAATTCTCTGTGGCAGCACATTTGCTAATTGAACTATTTCTCACGTTATTGTTATTTCACTATCATACACTAATTTTTGTTCGTTGCTGTACTTCGGTTTTCTTATACGCACCTTACATTCTTTATATCTTCAAATTCCGATTGTTATTGTATAGCTCATATGTGTCTGGTGCCCCTTCGTACCATCATTTACGTTTTCAAATAAATAAAATGTAGGACAAACACAGAAAAATTCTGATTTAAATAATATTTTATTGATCAAATTTCCACTGATTGCCAGATTCTGAAATGATACAACCACGTTTTTTTAATCTTGAAATAATCAAATGAGATTTGGATGGTTTTTATCTATACAGTCATCCCTAAATAGATGTGTAACTTCTTTAAAGGTTCATTAAAATATTGATCTGAGACAGTTAGTGCATCGCCATGAACAAAATATACGAGCAAATAGATCATCAGCTGTTTTCATTTTACAAACAGAATGTGATCATTATTGGCGATTGAAAGAAATGTCCAGGAGTTTAGTCATTCATATCTTCAAATAATCTCCTGCATGCTTAGAAACTGGTGTTATTAACTAAAATAACGAATCAAAGTCAAAAATTTATCACTTATTCAAGCGACCAAAAATGAAAATATTGTTTTCATTTAAGCACAAAACTTATACGCTCTGATAAACACTATCAACTGCTTCTTATGTGTTTAGATAATTGTGTAGTGCAAGGAGATTTTAAATATTTATATATTGCAAAGGTTATCACAAACTGAGGGTTCGGTCAATGAACCTTTCAGAAATGCATCTTATCTGTTTCTTTTATATTGGGTGTTTCCGTGCCTTGACAGGTGATAATATCCTTTGAAATTGCAAACACTATTTGCTATTTCGAGGTAATTTACTGTACATGAACGTCCATAGAAAAAACATGAAATTATAATCAAAATTATTTTAAATTGGTTCGCGATAAGTTCAAGTGTTAAAAGTTAATAAATACATAGGCGAAAATCAAACTGAAGTTGATCAACCTTTATTAAACTTACTCTGTAATTTCAATGCATGTAATACTACCATCTTTCATATTATTCATACTTGTCGGTGCAACACTTGTTTCATTTGTCTGATGAAACAATTTACGTTGTGAATTATTGTTTAGTTTTTCACTCTCCTCACTTAACTTCTTGTCACTATTTTTGGTTCCAGAACATTCATCGTCGGTTATTTGGTTATTTTCACACGTCTTTGAGTCATCTAGTAGAACAAAAGCTTGTTCAGATTCAATTTTATGAAGTTATGTGGTTAACTTTAGAGCAGAACTTTTGACAGTTATCTAAATACTGAACCTCAACCTGTGTCCATCTTAGGCAGAGTAATTTTCCAGCTTAATTTTATCATTACTAACGTCTCGTTAGTTAGACGGACATTTTCGTAGTTTGACGAGTAACTTTTCAGTGGTACGTGACAATAGTTTGTATAATAATGGTTTATTATATAGTAAAATTGCCAAATAAGAGTTTTGGAAATCTTTAAATCTCATAACTACATTATGGACTAATTTTGGTGATACATCTACTAAAAACAGAACAGCTGTTACGTTCTAGCACGGGGATCCCTATCAGTTTGTTCATTTATTGTTAAAATCATAGATATAAATATAATTCAATAATGAAGAAGATTTGAGCGAACAAATGTTTTCAATAACTTCATCATCAGGCTCTACAGTTATAAGTCCATAATTATTGTGATATTTTTACAAAGGCCAAAAATAAGGCATGTATTATTGAATTTGATAATGTTATGTTCATTTATTTAAACACATAAATATTGGTACAAACGAGCACTGAATACACAAGCTTCACACAAGTCACTTGATTTGTATGTGGGCTGTAAAACTGCCCGGATGCCCAAACCGAAGCAGGCGGTTTTCTCAGAGGGCCATACCCGGAGCCTTCGACCTAAATATCTGATCCACAAGGCAATGGAGCAACGTCAGGAGGTTCTATCCCATGGTAGCTGGTGACCAATAATTGGTTCATACGCCATTTTTTCCTTCAGGATTCTAAAATTCATGTGCACCATTGGTTTGGAATCAGGGTCTTTCAACTCCTTTAGGTGGATATTCCACATTCACCAACCGATTAAAGCTCCGGACTTTTGCTTTTCGTCCTTTCAATTTCGTGAACAGCACCCCCGCCTCGAGAAAGCACTGCTGGTTCATAACGTCAAGGAAGGTTGGACCCAGAACCTAAAGGTCTCTCTGAGCATAGAAAATTTATACACTAAATGAACGAAATGCGTGTCTGAGCTTTTTGAAACTCAATGTTGCCTAACCACAGCTTGTCTATGGTGGAAACAGAGATGTTAAATTTGGTTATTCTTTTGGATGAATAGGTCATAGGGACAAATAATAGTCATTTTTTGTTCAATAAACTGGTGGATCTTTTTCGTGTGAAGCATTTCGGAAAATGCTATTACAATGAAATGTTCTTCGAACGTGAGAAAATTCAAATTCACTGTTTTTGGTATATGAATCATTAAGTTTCAACCATAGACTTTCTCTGTCATCAGAGGCTTTAAATATTTGCTTCAAGACACATCAACAAGATCCTTTCAAAGTGCTTTTAAATGGATTCAGACAAAATAGCAAATCATCACCTCCATCACTCATTCAAAATGTTCAGTTTGAACGTAGCTGACTGAATTTCTCAACATAAAACCAGTGGCTAAACTTCATCCTAAAGACTATTTAAATTAAACGTTGGAGGCCACGATGTTCGGCATAAACGCACAAAATTTTTAAAATCAAGGATTTACCTGGAGAACTCAGTTGTTCATTTTCATCTCCAGAAGTCATTTGAACAACCGGTGAAGCACTGTTCGATCCCTCTTTATAACTCCAGTTATCAGAAAAAAGTTGGTCAGTCACATGAACTGAGAATGAAAGTAATAGCAAATCAATTATTATTTTTATACAAACTTTGAGGAACATTCTCTTCATGTCTATTGACTTTTTCTTCTTTCCTGTTAATTTTCTCATTTGGCTTTACGGCTGTTGCTGGAAAAAGCTCTGAATATTCTTCATCAAGCAGTTCAAGCGGCGAGAAAGGCATTTTCAATCATGTCATGATATAGTTTAAAACGTGTGCACGCGTTGTTATGACAACATAATCAAAGTGCTTCAAATGATTATGGATGGAATTGAAAAAGCTTTCGCTTAACGAGCTGCCGTGTCTAATACCAGTGGACTACTAATACCTCTAAGCAGGAAGCTTTGTATTATATTGATAAAAGGGGAAAAAGAAATTGGCAAATCATAGTAAGACACTATCCTTCGTCAAGTTTTCTTTTAAAGGACTCCTGGGAAGTTACTAAGACTAGCTCAGCCAGCAGCGGATTCCAGCATTCGGCCACTTTTAAGGGGTTGAAGGTGTGTTCACAGTCTTTTCCGCTGTGTTGTGTCTCCAGTTTCTGTTTATCACCCCATCGGTTTGTATTGGGATTTAACATGAGATGTTTAAGGGAATGTTCAGAAGTTTTCAGGGTTCTGTAAGCTATAAGAAGGTCACGTCCTAATCGCCTGTACTCTTATGGATTAGGTTCAGTGATTGGAGGCGCTCTTCATAAATCCTGAATATAATTCAACGAACTGATTTCGTGACTCGCCGTTGGGTATGGTTCAGTGTGTTCTTATCCTTCTAGGGTGAGCAAGGAAGTTCTATGTTTCCGTACTCTAAGTGGAGACAAGCAAATATGTTGAAGATTATTTGGAAACGTTTGCCTTGAAATGGCCGAAAATGAGCTTCAATTTATCCAGCGCAATTTTTGCTTGAGATGATTTTTGTCATAGTCAGCATGAGACTTCAAATCGTAGGGTGTCAGAACTACTAGATCTTTTTCAACTTGGGATGCCCTAGGAGTTGTAGCTGTAGTCTGCAAGATGTCTCTGATGGACTACTTCACACTTTGAAGTGTTAAACTTAAATCTGTTGTCGTCTGCAAAACTTTGAAGTCGCATCAGATCCTGCTGAAGTGGCGGCATATATTCTTGGTTGCGCACCTCTCTCCAAAGTTGCACATCATCAACAGAAGTTATAAGTCTGATGATGCCTGCTGTGGAAGATCGCTTATATAAATCAAGAAAAGAAGAGGTGCTAGTACAAAACCCTGAGGGACCCTAGGGTGCGAGAGAATATCATACAAAGTAGAGGCAAATGTTTGATTCGAACTGTGCGTTTTCGCAGTTTTCATATAATGTTAACAGCAGTGATTGTATGATAATTAGGAGTAATTGAATTATAGTATGAACTAATAATCCCAGAAATAAAGCAATTGAATCAAGAAGTATTACACAAGCACTAACGAATGTACTGTATTTAGAATTCGAAATCAGGTATTCAGCAAGTACAAAGCAATCATTAGTTCATTCAAACACCACATCTGCAACAGCTTAAATTGGAGTCCATGTGTCTGTAATTAATTGCACGTCTTTTTAAGTTTATCCTGTGTCTGTCGGACAGTGTATTGTATAAAGACTCTGTATTATCTAGAATGCACTCATTAGTATTAGAATTAACAACTGAAATCGGAACAGATTCACTTGCTTCCTGAGATTGTGTACAATCATCATGTCGATTGAGTACTGAAACTACTGCTACCTAGAATTTCAACCATAGAAATTCAGGCTATCCTCCCCCACGAAATAATGTCGGATCTTCATATCCCCAAGTTATGAATAATGTTGCTTCAATCAAAACATCTTTCTCATATTGACTAGAGTATACATTGGAAGTGACTTTATAATAAGGATAAACAATAATTGATATGGAATCATCTGAATTGTGATCAGACTCTAACTCATCTATTACTCGTGCTTCGCATCGAACAAATATCTCACAAGAAACAAATTCATCATGAGGACAAATAATATTCATATGACATCAAGATTTGATTCTTCTGAAATAGTTTCCTCAAATTTATTAAGAATGTCATTACAGAGTAAAGGATCATTAGAAAAATCAGTATCAATCAAAACTACATCAGATTTTTGATCATGATTAGGTTCATCAGAAATATTCTCGCCAGAATTGTAAGAAATTTCATCAGAAACATGTGAATCATTAGGAAAAATTATATCTGGTACAATAACATGAGAAATCTGGTATGTTGACTCATTAGAAATTGTTTCCTTGCAAGGATTCTGAGTTTTGTTTAACTCTGAACTGCTATATGACTCTAAATTATCTTTTGAAATCGTTGATGAAGATAAATGATCATTATGAATACTCAACTTATTAGGATCAGAATTACAAACTGAGTAAATATTTCCAGCATCACCACATTTAAGCACTTAGAATTACGAAATTTACATGAATTAAAAGAGTTGAACCTGCCATAGGACAAACATTGATCAAACTTGTGCCCATCTTCGTGAACTGAATTGCAACTCCTCAATGAGATATTTGCATAAACTTGAGTATGCACTGGGATGAGGTGACGTAATATAGTGGAATTTTTCATATCATCATGAATAATTCTATGAAATCTTCCTTTACCGCATTCGAAATTTGTATACTTAGCATAGTGTAAAAGAAGTTCCTTGAGAGTTGTATAAGGAACAGAAATGGGCTTTTCCGGTAAAGCCAAAACTTTTAATAAGCTATATGCTTCTTTTCCGATGAATGTGAGAAAATGTGCCACAATATTAATATTCTCATCATCTTCCTTGGTCATAGCCCATATTTCTAACCTTTCGAAGTAATCCTCATAAGCATCAAAATCCGAATGAATATCTAACTGTTCCATTGCAGGCCCCATCGCGACGCCAATATGATAATTAGAAGTATTTGAATTATAGTATGAACTAATAATCCCAGAAATAACGCAGTTGAATCAAGAAGTATTACACAAGCACTAACGAATGTACTGTATTTAGAATTCGAAATCAGGTATTCAGCAAGTACAAAGCAATCATTAGTTCATTCAAACACCACAGATTAGCATAAGACAACTTATGCCATTTTCACACAACATCTCTAACTTAAGTTTTCAGAGAACCCACAGGAACTTATTCGCTCAGGAAACATTTGATATTTTCACCCAGATTCCGAAGTCTTTGGCGCATAGATTCTCAAGGAGCTATGTTTATTTCTTATTTTTAAGGAGAGAAAATGTCACCGAAAAGTTGAATGTGGTCTGTTAATTAATATAATCATTGCTCACCGAAGTCCCTTCTAGATCTCAAGGCAGAAGTGCATCCCATCATTTGGTTTGATGGTGTTTATAGACGCATAAAAAAGATCTACCTTATTTTTATTCCCTTCCATATAGTTTGCGCTGATCGGTTTAGCCGTTAGACCTTATGCATGGCACATTTTACTCTCTAGCTGACTGCTAACTTTATTATTTGTGCCTTTATTGAATGCATATTATTATCCCACCTCTAATTAAACGCTCCTTTAACTGGCGCTGATAAAATTGTAATCACGTACTCAAGACATGTGTAAATATGTAGTGCAAACCTTCTCGTATTTTCGATGTGACGAACTCGCTTTTTTTTGTAAAAATAGTACTCAGTTTGACATTTGAAATCCACGGAACAATTTTGGCCTACTGCTTATAATCAGTTTCTCAATAAACCGTCACTCTGTATGTATAGTACACTGTTTATGAAAAATCATGGTTGTGCTAATAATATAAAGCGAATGAGAGCCTTATTCCACCACTACGTATTGGAGGGCTGCATGATGCAGTACAGGTTGTTTTATTCACGGAGCACCTATTTAAGTTTTATGTAATATGAAATTTTGTGGCTGACAGATGATAACATGTGTAGCATAACAATTTTCCAATCACAATCTAATCTCTTAGGAATATTATCACCCGAATAGTTCATTTAAGGACGAGAGTATTTAAGGTCCGTAATGTCCAGAATCGATTTGTACTTGATGATTCAGTATAGAATGATCAAACATATTAGTCGCTTGTATGATTTATTTTAAACACGCCTTAGAGAGTAACCGGACATGAATAATCCTTAAAAGAGTTAAAAATAAAAGGAAGAACATGGAATACTTGCAACTAATTTTTAATCATGGAAATAATTTAAATAATAAAAATTTAAAAAATATTTTCATCGTTTTAACTACACCTAAGTAAAGATCATTATGATCGATAGCACACAAATGCGCCTGTATTTCTGTGCATCTAAAATACTTAGTTAGCGACAAATAAATGACCAGAGGAACACTTAACACAAGTTACTGATTTAGACAAATTGTATGTTCTCATAAGACATGGCTCAAAGGTCACATATAACTGAGATTTTTTATAGATCAAAAATATCAAAACAGTTTGAGACTTCAAAATTCGATTTTCATACATAGAAAAACATTTTAAATTTCTGTTTCGAAATTAAGCGATTGAACTTTGAAGACTTTGCAACTTTTCAAATGTTTTCAAGGTTGATTTCACAAATTGATTGTTGCATTACATGTTTTCTCATGGAGTTAATATACCTGTTTATAAATTCAAGAGTTTTCAAATTCGTATGCTGTATTTTATTCTCAGTTTATCTGGTGAATAGTCGATTTTGACTCACTCGTATTACAAAAATTGTAAAGTTTTTGAGCGTATACAAACATCTATTTTTATAAATGTATGTTTGACAATTTAAGTTATCAGTTTTAATTCATGAAATTCATAAGGTATTTCAGTCTCTTACCTCATATCGGTAATAAGTGCAGAAGTTCATCAATCGCACGCTTTGCCAAAGCATGTTTTTAGGGTCGTCTTTTGATAAGCATGGATTGGAAAATTCCTACGGATGGGATTTTTGTGAAACATTTGGATTCTTAGTATTTGTTGCTCAGTCTCAAGATTCGGGGGAAATTTTGGGGTTTTTGTGCTATTTCTGTAGCGGACTCTCCAAATTAGGGAGACTGGGATTTTGATACTTAAGGGATAAGATATTTATCACAGGGTGTATGTCATCTTGGTATTTTTTATTTTGAGAGGTCTTGTGATGCCTAAAACCGGTTTCCAACATAATAAATGCCCTCAATCATTCACACTATTTTGTTGAATACTCGGATTGACGTTTTGTTACACAATC